GAGAGAGAGAGAGAGAGAGAGAGAGAGATATTATGCGACTCTGCCCGGTTTTTTATTTCTGTGGTGTCAAAGAGTGTCCTGTAGCTGCTACTCGCTCATCCCTACCCAGCCGCAATTAGCCTGTAATTTGACCACGCACCTGCCCCACACGAGATACGGCCTGTCACGGGGAGTGTACGCTTTCAGAATGGTTGGGTGTGCTTGATCGGGTCGATTCGAAAAAGAAAGTCAAACTGGCCATTGCTCACGTGGTGTCAAACGAAGTCAGTCGAAGACTTGAACGTTCTTCGAGAACAGTTGATAGTCAATGTGCTACTATTTTATCAGTTCTTCGTATCTGTCGTCATTCGTTTTTTTCTTAATTGTTGTTGGGTTTTTTCCCCTTCATTGCAGGAAGTCAGCAAAATCATACTAATGTGATCTCCACTTTAGTGGTTAGTCTTTCTGGTTGAATCCTTCCCTTCGCTTGAGTTTCTGATGGGTCTGTATTTTGACACGTTAATGGAGAGGGGAGGTGACATGGGAGTGGTTGTGGAGACTGCTGTGTGTATTCTTTTACTAGACAAAGTATTGTGGACGCGCTCATATGACCTTAGCAGTTGCGAGCGCCGTAAAACCCTATACTACATGCATACAAAGTATTGTGGGGACATCAGGACAAACGCCGGAGGAAAATAACCTCTACAGAAAAGGAGAAACTAATACACCGGTACTGATAGCAACAAAAATAATTGCTATTCAGAAATACCACCGAGTTTATGCCAGGCCAAATCTTAAACAGAAAGAAATAATTATAATTAAACGTTACAGGGTTTTTAAAAGGATGATTGAAATGAAGGTCAAAAGAAAAGAAGTACGCTTATGAGATGAGTACAGAATCGAGATGTTGCAAGGTGATTTGAGTTCTTTGGGGGTTTTCTCTTTCTTTTTTTTCGACAGATCAAACTTATTGGTTCGAAAGATATGCGTTCACTTTCCCCTTCAATATGTCATTAGTTATGTAAGTCCCATTCTCTCTTGTCCCTTATCGCTCTCTCTCTCTCTCTCTCTCTCTCTCTCTCTCTCTCTCTCTCTCTCTCTCTCTCTCTCTCTCTCTCTCTCTCTCTCTCTCTCTCTCTCTCTCAGGAAATCACCACCTGGCCTTTCACCTGTCAGCCTAATTACATTTCCTCTTCGATGTGTGCCTGGCACCTGTCACTGGGATGTCAGTGGTCACTGGCTGGTCAGTCAGCCGGTCAGTCTGTGGTGGACGCACTGACCGCTCCCTACGCTGTCGCGGTCATCGTGAAACCAAACCCCATTCACTGGTCAAGGCCAGTTTTATACCAATGGACAATAGAGTACTGAGCACCCGCTTTGAACGTTGGCCCTGAGTCCAAATGTTTCATTTGCAGTGGCATTTGTTGTAGATAAATTCTTTTGACTCTAACCCTCAACCCGGTACCTCTCGTATAGGTGGCATGCAACTAATGAGAAGAATGGGGAGCGGGACAACGTTCAAAATTTCGATAGTTTATCATCTTAATTAAGAAAAGTTTGCTTTGCTTGTCAAGTCTTGGAAGTCGTGCGAAATGATACGTTCGAGGTGTTCTTTTACTTGAGGCTTTTTTATCTTTAAGAATCGCATGAATTTTTCTTATTTCACCTGCAGCATAATTTTACTGGGTTTTGCACAAACTCGGAAGTCCTCATTTATTGTGATATTTGCATCGTTAGTCTCCTTTACGGAAAAGAAACCCTTGTATTGCGGTCGAACTTGCCACATGCCATATTTTGACTTTCGGCTTTGTTAAAATTACTGAAAGCGCTCCTTACCAGAATGATACATGAACGCCAAACATGTAAAATAATGAACAAATAAACAAACAAAAAACAAAACAAAACAAACAAATCCCAAACAAACAAATGTATAGACGGATGGTTGAAGGGTACTACTGGTAGGCCTTATTTAATTACTACCGGTTCTATCTTTTTATTTATTATTTTTTTTTTTTCTTTTCCACGAGCTCTAAGAGACCGTCATTGTGTTGACGTTCTTCTCCTTACTCCAAGCGATATGCAGTATAGTATGTAATATATAACATACATGAAAGAATCTGCATGAAGACAACCTTGAGACCATCTTAAGGTAAATTGCCCGTCTGCATAGACGAAAAGAGCCATACATAACATACATATAAATAATATACTGTATGTTGTATTATGATATATATA